TGGTTTCTATGGAGCAATATGATATATTAGCCACACATTGATGACATCACTGGTTTGTAAAAGCTTACTAAAACTCGACAAGTGCCATTCAGCCCTGCCCATGGCCATCTCTGGTGCAATTTACCCAAATTGTGATTCTGAGGAAGGGGGTATACCCCTGAAACGCGTAAATCCAGCCTAAAAGCAGCCGGTGGCATGATGGTATGGTGATGTGACCGGAGGCAGCTTTTTATACGCAGTCGGAACGGAACATTCCTTAGACACTGATGTTGTGGTCTCTTATTGACAAGCGTGACTGAAATGTTATAATTGTGAGTATTTATAACCGTTTTTATTATTCAAATAAAAAAAGATTTCACACAAGGAGGTGGCGCTTTTGTCTTCTATGTTTCTGATGAGAACCCCAGATGAGAGTCTCTTTGACGAGCAGCCTCCTGGAGGATTGTATGATGGTAATCATTAGCGTCAAGAGTTGAATCGACTTTTTCTGTGACCAGGATTAGTCATCTTTGTCACCGATTGGTGAACCTCTGTCCATCTTTACTTCAGAGACACTCTGACCCTCTAAGATGCTCTTTTTTATACCCAATCATCTTACTGACCTGTTTCCAATTAACCTAGTTGTAAAATGTTCTTCCAGCTCTTCCTTAGTACCACTTACTTTGCCAGGTTTTTGTTGCCCTGTCCCAATGTTTTTGAGATGTGTTGCTGCCATCAATTTCAAAATTTCTGAAAACGGTACATTTTCTCAGTTTAAACATTTGATATGTTTTCTATTTTCTATTAGGATTAAAATATTGGTTTATGAGATTTGCAAATCATTGAATTCTGTTTTTAAATAGATTTTACACAGGGCCCCAATTTGTTTGGAATTGGGGTTGCATAATAACACATTACCAACAAATGTTACTATGCGTCAGGCAGGTGACATTTGGATAAGAAATTCTCATATTATCAGCATTATTCAAACTATAACAAAGACGTGTTGCCATGTGGGAATATTTGCATTTTCATGTCTTTCTGCACAAGTTACAAAGCATTCTGTTTGCCATTCATATCTGCTAAATAGCCTAATGGGATAAGGCAAAATCTAACTTCAAGCCTGCTGTGACCTTTATGGTTTGTTCTCACAATTGGAAAGTAACATAATACACAAAAAGAAAACTGTAAATACTGACCACTGAAGCAATCATTGTATGCTCCTTTGTCAATACACATTTCTTATGATTACATTAACAACTGGCTATTTAAAGGAGTAAGCTGCTCCAGAAAAAATCCAGGGAAACAGTCAGTCTACTTTTCAATATAGTATTTGTTTGTTTTTTCTCGTTACCTTCTCTCCCTTCTTCTCCTTTTCCCTCCTTACTCTTTTCTAACCCTCCTGTTCTTCCAATCCCCCCTACACTCACCTCCTACTCCCCCTCTTTAATGCCTTATTCCCCTACACTCACCCCACCTTTTCCCTCCCCCTTCCTGTCTGCACAAAACACTGAATATCCAGCAACTTTTCCATCCCAAAAGCTAGCCATACACAAATAGATTTTTTTCATTCGACCTGCGGGCTGAAATAAAATAAAAATCGAATAGTTGCTCCATCCACGCTAAATAGTATAGAATATAATATAGAATAGTATAGGCTGCAGTCACTGTTCGGCCAAAAATGTGTGGCTCGGCTTCAACAGGAATTGGTCACAATTCTCATAGTGGGTGGTCCCATCAACTCAACAAAAGTTGATTACTTAATGTATGGCTAACTACTCAGTGATTGGGTGACTATGCCTCCCTTTATCACGTTCCTTTTTTCCCACTCAAGCCAATTACAGCTAGTGATTGCATACAAATGAAACATGTTGGTACCTTTGTTTTAATGTGTCTCCCCAATTTTTTTCTTCTTATAGTGGGGCCGAACTTTACTAATTCTAATTACATTTTAACCAAGTACAGAAAATACCTGTAGATCTTGACAGAAATGCAGTGCTCTTGCCACTTACCATGAGCTGAATTGAAAGTGCTGTCTTTATTCTGTAATCCCCTAATCTCTCCATTCTTCATGCAAAGGAGCTGAACAAAGGCACACATGTTTGAAGTCCAGACTGTGTGACACCCATGGCTCCATCCATAGATACAGTGGAGAAGTGAGAGTAGCCATCCAGGAACAGGAAATGTGTTATTTGCAGGAATACTAGGTGAAATGAATGGGAAAAAAAGCCTGAAATATCTAACACAGCAACCGCATCTAATATCTGGTAAACTGCAGTATATTACTTTATTGTTTTTGAGTTAAGATACTCTATAATGGTCAAACTGGTGCAATGTTACATAGGTTAAAAAGGACACATGTCTCGAGTTCAACCATATGAAAAAAATTCCCTACTTTTCCAAACAGCCCCCAAATCCTAGCTCATCCAGAGGAAGGCTGAAAAAATAATGCTTGATCCAAAAGCACATCTTGTGGGATCCAGAGCATGGGGTATATTGACACTGTCCATTAAACTGTTGCCTTTCTTATTTGAATAAAGAGCTTTTGTGACTATCAAGGCTCCTTATGACCTCTGCATGTGGAGTCCCTGGATTCCCTACTACAAATGAAAAAGAAGCTGTAGCCCAAGTCCTTTTAGTTTTGCTGTGCTGTGAGTAGCTGCACCTTCCTGGCCCAATAATATTACCCCCCAGCGCATAACATCAAGTCAGTAGGTTCACCAGCATAATAATTCAAAACATATTACAGTAAGAAGGCTAAAAATCAATTGCCCAGCAGGTGTTAAAATAAAAAATCAACTCAATACGGCAATACTCACCTACGCCCTGTCGATGTCCCCTGCAGACACTCCGTCGAGTCCTCAGGAGGAGGAGACACAGAGGTCTAAGGGGGGATGAAAGAGAGGGAGCACCACAATGATTTCAGTTAAAATAAGATCTAAGATGGCTGGTCTCCATCAGGAATAAGATAAGACACAAGCAAGCCTCACTTTGGTGTCTTGTAGGCAGAGTAATATCGATGATATTATACTAGAAGGGTACGCAGCACCTTCAGAAATAATTTTTAATGTAAGTCCTTACATAAAAGTCATACTGCTGGGACAGTTTTCCATCCTTAGCAGCCATCAAAGTTCTTGGTGGGAATTGTGCATGATTACCAATATCTCTGGATAAATGTTTGTGGGGCAGAAGTAGAGAAGCAAAGCAAAGTCTTAGAGATATGGGAGTACAACCAGGTAAGATAAACAATATGGTTATTTTGGCAGAGTTGGTGATACTCACCTCAGTGACTGAACAGTAGATTTTTAAAACCGAGAGCTGTTTGGCAGGAGAGGCAGTCCACCAAACATATAACATAGTGCATTTGGAACATTTTAATTTTAATGCCAATTCCCTTCAAAATTGATAACTGAGTTTTGCATGGTTGCTGGCAAAATTCTAGATTTTTTATCTCCTATGGCATCCAGTGGAGAGATAGCCACACCAAAAATAGGTCTGTCTAACCACTGTGACCATTACAAAACTACATAACGGTGTCACTCTCCTAGTGGATCCTCCTTAGTGTAGAGTGATCAGTTAACTGGTGAGTCTTGTTGTGAGAGATTAAGATGGTTTTGCGGGAGAAGGTGAAGCTACACACTGTTGCTGGGAAATCTTGAAATTGGACTCCCTGTAATAAGAAGGCAGCAGTTACTTTAGTCTATTTGTACCCAATCTAAAATAGTAATTTTACGTGGAGCTCAGTAGCTGAGTGGGGCTACAGTAGGGAAGGATGCAGTTCAGAGAAATGTCTGCAGCAATATGTAACAAAGTAAACATAGGGGCCAATTACTATATCCCAGAGTCAAAACAATGCAATTATACCAGGAAACATCACCCATTCCAAAGAGGGCAAAAATCTGTTACTTCTACTGGAAAGGTAGTAACAAAAATCTTCTGGGATGTGGATGGAGTGGTAATGACCAAACCAATACCAATAATACTATGTTAGCCTGCAATTTTAAATAATTTAAAGACAGCACACTAAGGGATATATTTATAAACAATTCTCATGGCCATTTGCCCTGCGAAATTGTATGTACAATCGTTCTGTGTGAATGGAGAAAAAAACAAAACAAATGTTATTAGCATATTTATTTTCCAAATTGAATGCAATTTCAGGTAAATACCACTAGATGAAGCCGAGGAGCATAACATATGCTCCAAGATCTCCAAGATAATGCTTCAAACCAAACATTACCACTTACCATGGCTGCCATCCAATAATGTGGGTCCAGGGATGCTCTACAAGACATTTCTGAGCAAACATCAAGCATAATTCAAAACCCGTGGGCGTACAAGACTACAAAGTGATAAAAAGGTGTGAGACTTCAGTTGAGCCTTATCAAAACTGTTTGGTGACATTGAATGCAGTTAATATAGTGTGGGTGGTGGCACACATGTAACATTTACCATGGCGGTATTCACTGCCTGCAAAGATGTGACAATAATATATGACTAATCAGATTCTGGGAAACACTGCTATATGTTATCTTCACTTAATATATCTTTGGTGAATGAAAAAATTTTGATAGTCATAATAAAACTTTGAAAACTGTCAAGTGTGCAAATTTGCAGATGATCAAGAACTGTCTTTATTTTAACATCAGAGAAAATGGTTCCGGAGATGTGTATATGTAACCTTCCAATATAAGCAAGATAAAGTGAAATAATGCTTCCTGGAGAATCTATTTTGCTAGACTGGAGATTTCATTTGAGGTAGCTCTGTTCCATTGGATAATTGTACAGAAAATCGTGAAGAATTGTGCAATTAGCTGGTTTGAAGACTGCACTTGTTTCTTTGTAGGTAGTGACATCTAGTGGTGAAATGACCGAATGCAGCTCAGACTTCCACTGTGGATTATTGTAGTAAAAATAAAATAAGGCGTTTGCTCATGCATGACATGTTAAGAGACAGCAATTTTGTTTACTTTGAGCTCATTCAAATTTAATGCAAATCCACTGCAGCAAGTAAAGAATGCTTCCATTTTCAGATTTAGTATTCCATGATGCATTTTATTTGTTTCATAAAAAATTGCAGAATCCTAGACAGTCATTTTCTTCTTATCGTTGTTGGAACATTGTCTGCATTGAAAACATCTTGCATGGTAATGCATTTAGTCCATTGTTTCTCAATTAATATCCATAGATTTCATTTTCAACCCAGCCAGATTCTGAGCTTTTCCCATACATGTCATTACACAGCTCATACAGTTCGTTGGTGACAAAGCCGCTTTCTGTGCTGGCTAGTGTCACAAAGCCACTCTCTGAATGGTTTCCTGCCATGTTATCATATTCACCTGACAGATTGTCTATAGGTGAGATCTCCCCAGATGGCACCCGAAAAGACGTATTATGGATATTTGGTCTCGTTCCTGCTAAATCTGCATCCGTCTGTTTCTTGATGACATTGTAGACCTCCAGATTAGGACTGTTCCTTCTGTGTGGGGACATCCAGAAGCTAGGCTCTTTAACAGCTGTTTCACTTCTCTGTTGTTTTCTGAAAGAACAATCAGAATGACATGTTAGTAATTCTACAGTATGTCTTGTGATTATCAGATTACTATACAGCCTGTAGACAAAGTAGCAGGTTTTCCTTATAGAAGTCACCATAAGCAGACTGTACTCACCTTTCCTATGATCTCCCGCCACCTGATCCACTGTCAATGCCTTAAGAATCAGCTACTACATTCAACTATGGGGGAACAAGGTACACCTCATCTGACTCCCTCCAATGCAGCACTGGATGGATGAGCAGCCAATAACCAGGGAAGGTGCGAAGAGGCTACCTTTGGTGCCTTCTATGACGGGAACATGTTACTTTACCTGGTCAAAGTATAGGATTTTTGATTGCTTTGGATTTGGTTCTTTGTCTTAGTGAATAAGTACATGTTTTATAGTCAAAACGGATGTTTTAGATATGAAAAACAAACAATCTTTTGATGCTCTGTGATTTGTTACCTGCTCTGACATTTATGCAGCTGTAACTCTATATGAAGCACATACAAATGTAGGGTCTTCCAACACAAACTTTGAACACAGAGAGTGCCTGCCAACACACGATAGCTATGGTGTATTTACAACATTCCAAACCTGTCAACATACCTAAACAACAGTACTATGGTGATCAAAGGCTGTTATATCAGAGCAATACACTGCCTGACACTCTGAAATAGTGCATTTTATATGTGTACATCGAGCTTCCTCTTTTTACTCCCCCTTCACTCAACCATTTTAGGCCAAAATGAGTTTTGAGCATGCGATGCTCACTCCAAATCAACTTAGAAACATACTCTATAATTTGTCTCTAGCCTCATGTTTATGTAAATCCATAACAATGTGATCATTAATGCATTACAACAAACAACTGTTAAAGTTACTTAAAAACATATAGGGGTCTATTCACGAAGCTGTCGAAGGATCTGGCCGTAGCTTCGGCCGATCCTTCGGCTAGCTTCGGCCCCAGAACCCCTTCGGTTCAGCAGAACCGAAGGGGTGCTGTACGGGCTATTCACAATAGCCCGTACAGCTCCCGATCATGGCCGAGCGGCTCAGCCGAGCCGAACGCATATGCATCGGCTCGGCCGTGCTGAAAGCCGAAGAAACATTGCTGTGTCCTTTTTTTTCTTTATTCTGACACGATCGATGTCAGAATAGAAAAAAAAAAAGAAGAAATTTTCCCATTGAAAAGCATTGGGACATTACTATTGGCTATTTCAATTTGCAATAGCCAATAGTAAACTAGCATTGTACCCGCCCTCTGCTGCAGTTCCCCATCAGGTCCATCAGCAGAGGGCCAGTACAATGCTAGTTGTTGGATCGGCTGAGTCGAACTCCTTCTGCACTTCGGGTCGGCCGAACAATGTACGGCTGAAATTAGCCGTACCAGCCTGAAGTGAATAGCCGAACAGTGTTCGGCTCACTTCACTTCAGATCGGTCATTCACTCGGCTGCCCTCGGCAGCTTTGTGAATAGACCCCATAGACTTTACCAACTATTGACCTCTTTGTGATGTATACAAATATATTAAACATTTTCACTATACTATGGTATCCTTAGAGCCCCACCAAATCTCAATGAGTGACTCCTTCATGTAACTCAAATATGGATGAGTTTTGTTTAATTCATACTGCAACATAGGAGGGTATAGAGTGAATAGTGCTAGAAATACAACACTATCAAAACACTATTTGCATACATATATAAATACATTGTTAGTTCATATTGATTTATATATCCTTTCCTTTAAAAGTTTCTCCTTGTGAAGATGTGTATATATGTATATACAAGATAAAGAAGTAAATGACCAGCAGTCAGCGATGTAATTCAATATGTCCATTTACTGGACAAGGACGTCACAGTAATCAAAGCCGACGTTTTCGAAACCGCACAGGGTCTCTTCCTCAGGGCAAAAATACGTGACGTCACAGTAATCAAAGCCGACGTTTTGAGACTGCACAGGGTCTTTTCCTCAGGGCAAAAAGACGTGACGCATGTCTTTTTGCCCTGAGGAAGAGACCTTGTGCAGCTTTGAAACGTCGGCTTTGATTACTGTGATGTCTTTGTCCAATAAATGGACATATTGAATTACATCGCCGAGTGCTGGTGATTTACTTCTTTATCTTGTGTTTGCACGGGGCCATCCGTGATTGTCACTGCGAGCACCATCTCACTTATTGGCCGGGACTGCTGCAAGGTGTGCGGAGGGCTCCCCCATCGATCTATATATGTATATACACACACATACACACACTGTATATTTGTATATGTAACCAGTGCTAGCTAAGTGAAAAATACATTAAAAAAAACCATATCAGAGATAAAGTGCCAAAAAATAATATTTTGGAGTAAATTAGAAAATCACTTTTATTACTTATATAAAATAATATGGCCGTAGACAACCATGTGTGTGCAATCAACGGAACATGGTAAGGCGATACTTAGCTGCCAAGATTGGTGAAAGAATGTGGCTTGGGTTCCACTTCAGAAGGAATGAAGGGTGCGCACCCCTTACTCCTTCTAAAGAAGAACTACTTGGATATATAACCACTGCAAATGTAATATAATAAAGATGGCACATCCACTTTTAAATATAATATTTGTTCCTAGAATTGTTCTGTATGATCTATACCTCTCTCCATCTCATTACCTCTGCTCCCTTCCATCCTCCAGACACACCTTGACATTACATTGAAATTTTGACAATAAACTTACCTTCTTTCTATGAAGCAGCAGCACAAAACTCCAATAAAAATCAATAAAAGTGTCAGCACTGGGATCGTTGCAATGAGAATATAATGGATATAGGTCTCTGAAATGAGAAAGACAGATAAGTTATATATAACACTCATTCAAATACTGGTGACAGCTATTTCTGGTCTTAAGCAAAACATCTGATAATAGGGTCAAAATACACAGCTTTATCACTTACATTCCTCTCAAGTTTGTGAGTAGGAAAACACCTTTTACTGGAAAGTCATGGGGGTCTATTCACAAAGCTGCCGAGGGCAGCCGAGTGAATGACCGATCAGAAGTGAAGTGAGCCGAACACTGTTCGGCTATTCACTTCAGGCTGGTACGGCTGATTTCAGCCGTATATCGGCTTGCTTCGTGTGGCTTCGGATCAGCCGAACATGCTCAGCATGTTCGGCTAACCCGAAGTGACTGAGCTAGGCAAGTCCTGTGTGTGGGAAAATATCTGGCTGTATTGTAGAAGTTTCTGAAGGTAGGTGTTCACTGGTCAAGGTGAGGGTGCAATGTTTTTATAAGGGTAAAATTATGTAGAGTAAAAACTGCAGACAAAAATAAGAAGCAAAGTATGACTAATTTTCCAACTTTATGGGCATAATCAACATTCTTCGAACATAAATTAAAGTAACATAAAACTCAGGAGTTAAATATTAAAAATACATTCAGGTACCTTAACTATTAACAAAAATGTATCTTATTTGTGTATCACTCAGCTGTAGATCTTCAAATCATCTCTGAATTGGTGCTGACACTGTCCTTCCTTCTGGAGGGTGGCTACTTCTGTTCCTCATGGTCCCTGTGTGTGTTGCATGTAGCCCCCACTCCAAGCTCGCTCCCATGATGGAATACAATTGCATGTTTAATTTACTAACTTGTATTGAGATTGTTTTCCATCATGGGAGAGAGCTTGGACTGGTGGCTACTTTACAACACACACGAACCATGGAGAACAAAAGTAGCCACCCACCAGAAGGAAGGACTGTGTCAGCACAAATTCAGAGATGATTTGAGGATCTACAGCCGAGTGAGACCTTGTTCACACCAAGTGCGCTCCAGGAGCAGAGCAAAGCAGTTACAGACCAGATCAAAACGGCGTCCAATGTATTCCAATGGTATTTTGGGCTCTAGTTCACACCTCAGCATTCAGTTCCAGAGCATGTAAAAAAACTGCAGCAAGCCCTATATTACCTGCTCTGGAACGGATGCAAATGCATCAAAAACGCATGCAAATGCCCTGGAATGCACTGAAAGCCCATTTTAAACTAAAAAAATATTTTTTTTTTATTACCATAAACGACCCGGAACGCATCAAAAATGCAGCAAAAACATGGCGAAAACGAGGCACGACCCACTGCACTGCATGTGCAGAAACTCATGCAGATCTGGTCTACATTTGGTGTGAACAAGCCCTGATACACAAATAAGATACATTTTTGTTAATAGGTAAGGTACTTGAATGTATTTCTAAGCTTTAACTCCCGGGTGTAGTGTCACTGCATTTCGAATGACAATTTCTTAGTATTTTATCTTCACATAAATGCAGTAAAACACAGCACAAGGGACAGTTGTGTTCTAGAAATTTACCAGCTCCAAGCCAAGGCAATCTTGACCGTTCTACAACTCCAGCCTGGGGGAATAATTCCCAGAAAGAGATTCCATGGGGTCAGGAATTACATTTCTTAAAGATATTAGACTTAACCAGACATTTACCTGCAGCTTCTTTTGCTGTCTCATTGGCGTTTTTAATGGATATTTCTGGGTCCCTGGTAGTAACTGTTCCAGTAACTGTAATCAAACAAAAAAAGAAGACAATAAATGTACAATACAGGAGTAAAACATCAATATTATAAAAACTGTGGAAAGAAGAGGAGTCAATAACTAAAGGCAATATCTCCTCTGGGAAAGTACATGCGTGTGTGTATATATATATATATATATATACCTGTGGCATCGCAGATTCTCATCTCTCCAACTGTCCCTTGCAGGGGTGGAGGGAGCCTTGTCAGGTGGTCACATGGCAGGTGGTCACCCACCCGGCTTCCATATTGGATGGGAAGCCGCAGCCACACTCGCATGCAGCTTCCCAGGCACCGAGGACTGTGACTGTTATGTGGGGGATGTAACTGGCAAGTGCTGCTGTACTTTGTATTGCTGAGCTGGTCACAGAGCAATCTTTGTGATCTCTACCAGCTCAAAACACGGCGCCCGCTGTTGCAGTTTCGGTGTTGTGCTCAGAGTGATTAGGGTATGCCCAGGCACAACTGGCACACCCCCTGCACACACCTACGTATGTATGTATGTGGATATGGTAGGGAAGCTTTCTGGTTAGAAAATTAGTAGTTATTGCCTGCAGATCAGCTTTAAGATGGAACTCTTGGCAACTATTAACTGAGTATTAACTGAATAGTTTAAACATATGTACTGCTATAAGTATCAAAGGATCTGTGATTTTGTTTAGCTACTCTCTTCATTTACACAACTCTGCCATGCCACTTAGCCAGGAAAATCACTACTACTTCCTGGTTCAACTTTTATTGCTTTGTGGATCATCAGAGGTGATGCTGATTCATTCTCCGGTGAGCAGGCTGGAAAAGGAGATGGACCATAGGAAGCTACATTGTTGAATTGGGCACTTGGCAGTGCAGTGTGGAAAATGTGTGGAAATCAAAAGATAGGCTGAACAGAATTAGAAAACCATTGACAGCTAATTCAGTAATCATATATTTATTTCAACTGTTTCTTTAGCTTTTCTCCTACAGTTAAGCTTGAAAGGACTTTTATACTTACTAGAAAGAACATTTTAAACAAAACTCAGTATTTTGTTTACTTTTTTTTTTTTACTCCATATATCTCCTTGTTAAACTAGTGTTTTTTCTGAACAAACTCCTTAAGGAAACATTGAATACAAATATGTTTCATTTTATCTTTGATAGAAAAAAAGATTTTCTTCTGGTTTGCTGAAGCATAGGGTTCACACCATCAATTTTGGATTTATCTGCAAGGTGATGTGGGTGGGTGCAGAGAGTGGCTGGGTGCACAGAGTGAGTGGCCAGTGTGGATGCACAGCATCTCACCTCTCTTCCTCTGGCCAGTTCTAAAGGCTTGGTTCACACC